CCTCGTGGGAGCTGCCACTCCCCGCTGCCAGGGATGGGCCAGGGGCCTGGGGACCAGGCTGCCGGACGGTCTACCTCCACAGCCTCTGCGGGGCTGGGGCAGGGGCCCAAGCTCCTGGAAGGAAGCAAAGGGCACAGGTTAGAGCAGCAGCAGCGACGCCATTTATGCCCCTGCCTAGGCTGAGCCCTTACCATGCCTTAATAATAATGAATTAATGTATCTGGCACTTACCTAATACTTGCCATATGCCAGACACTGTTCTAAATGATTTACATGTATTATTAGCTTATTTAATCCTTCAGCCTCCCCATGACATATACACGACTCCCAAATTATAGATGAGAAAACTAAGAGACAGGCTACGTAATTAACCAAAGCCCTACAGCTAACAAGGGGCTGAGCCAAGACTCAAACGGAGGCCACCTGGCTTCAGCGTCCATGGCCTCTACCATGGACATTTAGATCATTTTCTTTGAGAAATATGGACTAAACCCAGAGAAGTTAAGTGACTTGTCCAAGATCACAGAGGCTGGAGAGGAGCCCAGGTGGCATTTGATTCCAGAGAACACGCCCTGTGCCCAGGTTGGGGGCACAGCTGCCTAAGACATGGGGGCCGGAGACACAGAGGCCATGGCCCCTCATCTCCTTTCCCTGGCAGCCCTGGGGAGCTTACACAGCATCTAAAGTGCAGTCAGTGTTGAGAAGTGAGATACGGAGCGAGGATCCAGCACCATCACCCAGGGACATGGAGATGGATACAAGACAACCGTCTGAGGATGAGGTGGGGTCTCCATGGCAAGATGAGCAGGAAGCAGGGGGATAAGGGAGCTGGTGTCCAGGCTCTGGAACCAAACAGAACTGCATCCAAATCCCGCTCTCCATCTCTCTGAGACTCTAGTTTCCTCAACTGTAAAATGGAGATAAAACGCTTCCCCGCAGGTGGCATGGGAATCTGAGAGACAATCATGTAAAGGGCTGGCCTGTGGGCAGGCTTTCCTCGCTGGGTCTATCCGCTGGGCATCCCACGTGGATGGTTTCCCTTTGGAGGGGCAAGCTCTTTCTTTGGGCGTGTAAACACTGTCCGCAGCATTCACTCCGGGAAACCTCCTGTGAGGCAGGATCCTAGTGTTCAGGGAGGAGCACTTGGTCACCATCACTAGGAGACCAGCCAGACCCCAGGGCGCTTGGAGGGGCCCTGGTGTGAGTTGAGATGGGGAGCTGAGCCCTGCAGCCTGTCCAGGGCAGAGGCATGTGCCCTCCCCACCCTGGCCTGAGAGTGGCTGGGCTCAGAAAATCTTCCACGGAGACAGACCAGGAGACAGGTGTTTCCCATCCCTTGCTCCCACCCACACAGTGGCACGACTCCCAGCCAGAGTGCAGGTGGAGAGGGAGGGAAGCCTGCTGCCACACAGACAGGCAGAGATGCTGCGCATTTCTTCTTTAACCCTCCTACTTTATTCTCAACTCCCGTCTCCTTCCCTTTCTATGGTTAGACCCCAGCTTCAGTTCGTGCCCACGCCATCCAGAGAGCTCTGGCTAAGGTTGAATCTGGAGGGATACTAGAACACATAGCAAGGAAAATTAACAACCCCAGACAGTTCTAAGTTAGCAGGATAAAGGTACGCCTTTTGATATCCCAGATCACCCACGGTAAGAGAGAAAGCGACACAGAAATGCAAATTCTATCTTCGGCAAAACTAGAGCACATTTGTAACCCGAGCCACAGCTTCTAAGGAGAGGCTGCCAGAAGCAGTGAGGATCAAAGGGGGTGTGAGAAAGCACCTACACAAGCCACCTGTGGCTGCAACGCTCGGATAAAGCTGTCTGATCTCTCTTGCTTGTACTCCCAAAACAAAACAAACAAACAAGGATTCCTAACCAGGAAAAATGGGAACAGGGCTTCTGGCCTGGCCACTGGAGC